GTGTAAGTGAATACTGTAATTGTTACTTTAAGGGAGCTAGAACCTGCCATTGGACCTATAAAGTAAGAGTTATTTATCCCACTTTATACTTAGCCCTAGTGAGAAGACTTCAGAAGCAAAAGCAAAAGAATAATGTATGATTGGCCAGACATGTGGTACACACCTTTAATCCTAGCACTCGAAAGGCAAAGACAAGTGGATCTCTGTGAATTGTAGACCAGCCTGGTACATACATGAGACCCTGTCTTTAAAAGAAAAAATATGCTTACAGTAGAATGTTAAAATAGGAACTGGAATTAAACAGAAAGATTAGGAGATCATTCTGGATGCTTATGGAGATGGAAAGGTTCTTTAAGGAATAACAGACTGAAGCAATCCAGAGGAGGGGCTCCCTCCTCTCCCACTCTGTGTCACTGTCTGCCACCACAAAGAAGCCTAGAACTCGTCTCTTTGTGGCTTACCTTTGACTGGTTGAAACGTTTAGTCTTTGTCTACCTTTATGAATATGAGTAAGTTTTAAAGGTTTATTTTTAATTATGTATGGGTGTTGATGTACATGAGCACAGGTGTCCACAGAGACCAAAGGCACTGGATCCTCTGGAACTGGAGTGACAGATGGCTGTGAGTAGTCGACATGGGTGCTGGAATCAGGCCCTCTAGAAGACCAATTCACATTCTTTAACAGCTGAGCCATCTTTCCAGTCCCCAGGTCCAGATGTCTTTATCCCAAGAAATAAATCAGGTCTTTCTCATAAAAGCCACAAGGGGAGGTGCTTTGGGACAGTTAATTTTCTAAGTTATACCCTTGCCCGGGCTTTTTATTTACACTAAACTGGGCCCTTCAGAAGCAGATTTCCTATTTTGTGCCAACCTGGTTATTAGTAATGATAGGCCTCTCCACAGCCTGGCAAGATTAACCCTTTGAACTATTGTGTAAGGCCACTGTGGTTCATTAGTCTGAACACCTTGTAGTTCTTGCTGCATCCTCCAGTGTTTATAATTCCATAAATTACAGTCAGTGAGGAGCTGTCCTCAAGCTTCCCTGTTACAAGCCCACAGTGGAGCAGTACTTCCTCATTTCCCATGATGCCCGGTGGGTGGGATAAGCATTTTGCAGACCCCTGCCCGCATTCCTTTTCTTCCTTCCCCCTGCTCTTCTTCTCTTTGTCCCTCTGTTCTTTGGACACTGCACTGCTAAGTGTGTAGTAGGTGCTCAGGAAATGCTTTCATGTGGTCTATTAACAAGAGATAAAAACTCACCCTTTAATCGTAATCTTCTGGTCCCAAGATGCTCTCCCTGAAGAAAGACTCCCAAGATGTCTGTGCATAACAGTAATGCTGAGCAGCCTTTATGCCCTCTGCTATTAGCCTGCAGTTGAATCTGCATGCTGACAAGCAGGCGGGATTGAGTTCATTTCCTGGTGTGAGAGAGGGGGTAGTTAGACCTTCTCCCTGATGTGCATCTTTCACACAGTACCATTCTTGTCTTTGAAGTCATATGGGCCATGTCTTATGGTGGCATCCAGCAGTTTGTCCAACTCCTCCCTGCTAGTGGGTACTACTTGTCCCTTCTAACCATCTTATTTCCTTACCATCTTCACACCAGGAGGATGAAGACCACCTTCCAAGGATGGCCTTCTAGTTTCCTGAAAATGAGCAGAAATATCCCTCAACTAATGTTTTTAGAATTGAGTTTCCAGCTTGCTTTGTACTGTTCTGAACACTTTGTCACAGTGAATGATTTTAATTCTTATAAAGCCTTTGAGGTGGGTGCTGTTAGGAGCAAACTAAGGCAGCAGGCTAAAGACCTCAGCCTAGATCATGCGGGTGGTGAGTGGTAGAACCAGGAGCCTGTGGATTCTGCCTCCAGGACTATTGATTTTTGCCACTACAATATGCCCTTATCATTCAAGGCAATTCTGTACTCAGGAGTTACATATGACTACAAAATCTTTTTTTTTTTTTTTTTTGGTTTTTTCGAGACAGGGTTTCTCTGTGTAGCTTTGCGCCTTTCCTGGGACTCACTTGGTAGCCCAGGCTGGCCTCGAACTCACAGAGATCCGCCTGGCTCTGCCTCCCGAGTGCTGGGATTAAAGGCGTGCGCCACCACCGCCCGGCGACTACAAAATCTTTAAAAGACCATATTCTTCAAAAATATTAAAGGGTGCTGTATGTGGCATGTTGCTTAAGAAAAAAGAAAAACAACAAACTGAGAAAAGCATTCCAATATCCTTAGGTCTAGGACTTCCCTGAGTGAAGCATTCCAGAATGTGTAGGCCCGGATGGTGGTGGCTGAGCTCCCAGTGGCCACAGTGCTAACCCACTAGCCACTGAGTGAGTGAGCTATTTTGCAATAGAATCCCTAGTCAAGCTGCTCCAGAAATACTGCATGGAGCAAACAAATAACATAATGGAGTATTGTCTTAAAGGTCAAATGTCAGGGAAACTCAGTTAAGTACTAATGATAGGGGCATCTCTGAAAATGTGACGAAGAACCTGACCTTGTCTTTTCTGATGAAGGGCTGCTTTTGCATCACCCTTGAAAATAGAGGACATATGAACTGTCTAGAGACAGACAAGTATGTGAGTGGTCACTTCCATGCATGTAGCCTTCTGCAGACTTCTGTCGTACACATGCTGGGACTCCTAGGAGACGGCGTGTGTGGTACTCTTGGGAAGCAGTGTGTTCACCCAGGCCTTCCAGAGCAAAGTCTTCAGTCTCTTACTTTCCCTTCCTCTTTTGGGATGCTGGGAATTGAACCATGCACTCACTAGGGAAGTGTGCTACTGCTGAGCACCAGCGTCAAACCTGGAGGTCTAAGTCTTATGGAGCTCTTTTCACTTAGAAAGAGTGAGTTACTTTTGCACTGTCACTCTAAAAACAATGCAAGCAAAAGATAAAGGACTCAGAAGAGCAGTGCTTATTCAGGTACAGCCCGACACCCTCCCAGGGAGGCTGTGAGGTCAGAGTGATCTCATAGCAGCAGCATGGTGTTCTCTGCCCTCTCCATGTTCCTTCTCTCCTGAGACTACATGGTGTGGTTTTTAGTTTTAACAGACTGAATGCAAATGTGCCCAAGAAAATTCAGCTATCTTCTAGAAAGTCGGACATTGGAAAGCATGGCAGACTGTGTGTGTGTGTGGGAGTGGGGGGCAGGCACGGGCAGGGGGTGCTATTTCCTGTTCACCATTTTGTTTCATTTTGGAAAATGGAGTTTTCATCATAAGTTGTTCATTTTAATGTGTAATAAATGAATTAACATGTATTTATAAAATTTCTGTTGTATCTTCTGATGTGGTTATCACCATCGATACTGCCCACATCAAAAGTTCTTTCATATCCTCAGTAATTTTTGAAAACATAATGGGATTTGAGACTAAGTGTTTGATAGCCACTGAAATATGCTGTCTCCTTGACTTTTGAAGCTTGTTACTTAATCTCTCTGAGACTGCAGTAAAATGGAGTGATGCTTTGTATACCTCACTTGTAAAAGGATTCAAGGATTCCATAGATTCAGGAGCTTCTGCTATACATGGAACAGCAGGCATTCGATACGGGATAACCTTCTCATACTATTCGTCAGTCCTGTGTGACTCCAGACACCTGCTGAGGCATTGTTAAAGAAGTTTGCCTCGGGTCAGTAATGATCAGTATTGTTAAGGCATAAAAAGTTGTTGAGAGAAACAGAATTGGATTTTATTGCTCTTGTTTTGGTCAGTGACCACAGTGGTTACTCGCCAATGATCAGGGTGTGGATTATGAAGTGAGCGAGAGATACAGACTAGCTTAAGCTGCCTTTCAAACTCCCCGACTGCTGGACCACCCAGTCCTCATCCCTTATCCAGGGTCTGCTCTGCCCTGGTGACAGTGATCAGGCAAGCAGACATAATTGCAGAGCCCCCATAGAGGTGGTGCTATGTCGAGGCTCCAGCATCTCAGCCTTGGAGTCGAAACAGTCTACCTTAGCGAGCATCTCATTCAGCCCACGTTTTTCTTGTGAAGAGACTGAGGCCCAGAGAAACTATTTCCTCACAGACACTTGCCTTCCTTCGTATTAGAGTCTCATCAGGACAGACCCACAATTCCTTAATTTATAGTAGAAGAATACCCAGGCTTGGAATCAGAAAGACTGTCCTTAGAATTATTCTGTGCTATAATTGGTTGTCAAACAGCGGCCACTATACTTAAATCTCTCATCCTGAGGACTTTATTTGTAAAGCAGAGATAGAGGCATCTCTCTGGCAGTTGCTTGTCGGTCCATAGTGACCCATTTACCTGACATAGGCTACTTAGAAGAGGAAAGATTTTTTTTCTTCTTTTGGTTTTTCGAGACAGGGTTTCTCTGTGTTGCTTTGGTGCCTGTCCTGGATCTCGCTCTGTAGACCATGCTGGCCTCCAGCTCACAGAGATCCACCTGCCTCTGCCTCCAGAGTGCTGAGATTAAAGGCGTGCGCCACCACCGCCCAGTTTGAAGAGAGATTCTTTTGGACCACAGTTGTGGAGGGCTGTGTCCACAGTTGATAGCTCTCACATGTTTGGGCAGGAAGTCATGGCAACAGAGGCTGTTCCTGTCACAGTAGATAGAGAAGAGGGAACAAGACAGGACATAATCCAGGGATAATAAACTCCCAATGCCCCGCTCCAGGTAACTTGTAACCTCTAGCTAGGTCCTACCTCTTGGAGCTTCCACAGCACTTGCCAAAACAGTGCCATGATCTAAGCATGAAGCATCCTAATCCTTTGCCTGACAGGGTCATTTCATACTTAGACCGTAACGCTACCTTCTTGTAAAAGGTTTTGGAAGACCAGTGGATGAGACACCACATGAAGGTACTGATGACTCTTAGGTTTGGGTCAGTCCATCGTTCCAGCCCTTTGCCTGTGAGGTTCACAGCAAGTTCTTCCCTGGAAAACCACACTTCCCTGACACCAAAGCCTCTCCCTCTGCAATGCTGTGCTTTGTAGCTTTGTAACATTTTCTTTTTTTTTGTCATTTTAGGACAACCCAGAACCCTGCAGGACCTGTGCCGAATTAAAATTCGACAGTGTATAGGCCTTCAAAACCTGAAGCTGCTTGATGAACTACCAATTGCCAAGGTCATGAAAGACTACTTAAAACACAAATTTGATGATATCTGATATACCTGGACTGTGAGCAAGATTAAGAGTTATTCCAGACACTTAAAAGGCTCTGGGCCTTGCACAAAGTATATCCTATGCAATTTCTGATTTGCTGTGAAGTCAGAAGGCAGGTATACACTTTTAGGGTTTTTGTTTGTTTGGTTTTCATTTTAGGGGAGGGATTTTTTTATATATATATGAACACACACACACCACGCTTGAAGGTCTTAATTTGGTTTCTTGGTCCAAGTCTATGAGGTCCAAGCCTTTCTATACAATACTGCATTTAGAAAAATTGTTTTTCCTAAATGCACCAACACAGGCAGGTTCAAAGTGGAGGGTTCTCCCTTTTGAGCTCTGGTTTCATTGGTGAACAAGGTACTAGAAACCAGTAGAACATTTGTTAAGTTTGGAGGTCTCAGGCTCACCTAGTAGATCCTGGGTGACGCTGGATAATTCCCTGCGAAGAAACTTACAGTAATGCTATCACCTCATTCATTTTTAACGAGTACAGATGAGCTGTTTAAAAATTCTTTTTTCCCTTCTAATTAATGTAGCTTTCCAATGAAAAAAAGAAAAAAACCCAGTACCTCTGCTTCCTTTTGGTGTGCGCTATTTTTAAATTATTTTTTTTTAAACAACTGTAGGACACTACCCTGAGACATTGTGTTTCAACTCCTCTCTCTCTTGTTGAATTGTGCTTTTAAAACAAAATGAATGGGGAAAGGAATTCACTTTTTAAAGCCAGTGTATTCTGTTTTAAAACCCATGCCTCTTGTGCGGCTCCCTCTTGGCGTAGTCTCTCGGTCAGTCGGTCGGTCGGTCGGTCGGTCTGTCTCTCACTCCTCCCGTTCCTCGCCGGCCGGCTTCCTCGTGCCCCTCAGAGCAGGAGCCACCACTCCCACTCCCACTGCAGACCCACTGTGTGTCACCTCAACTCCACTTTCAGCGTTGCGTTTTCTTTCACTTTAAGGAACAAATTTCATATCCTGGTGATACAGTGTTCCCTAGAAATAGCCCACATTCTTGCTAAACCATTTGATTTTAATGATTAAATAATTTGGGGTGGTTTCATGGTGTTTTTTGTTTGTTTGTTTTGTTTTGTTTTACTTCCTGGTAATATGTATACATATATATTTTAAGGGTAAAATCTCTAATGGGCACTCTCGTGATCCTGGCAAATTGCTAATATGCTAATTAAATATTTCCTGTCTGTTTTGAAGGTAGGTACAGTAAAGCTCTTCAAGACAAATATTTTATTTTCTGGGTTGGTTGGATATGTGTGTACAAGATAAACCTGGGTGTGGTGAAGGATCAGTAGCAAAGGAAAAGGGCCCGTAGGCGCTAGGCATCAGGGACGTGTCCTTGGACACACGCTCACTGCTTCATTCGTCTTTATGTTAGTTTGAGGAGAGCCTTTTCAAGTGCCCCGGTGTCATTCTTAGTGCCCTGACAAATCTTTTAAATATTTATAACTGTTAATAAATTTGCTGTCAGAAGTTTGCAAGGTAAAGGGCTTCTCTTTCTTGTCAGAATTGCCAGTTTGGGGGCGTCAAGCAAACACTCTTTCACCCCACAGTGGGATTAAGCAGAAATTCAGCTTCACCAAGTGCAGGCCCGCAGTGCTGTCTTCTCAAGCCTAGAGTGTGTCGTCTTGGCTGCAAAGTAGCTGTGACATCAGAACATGGAATCTGTGTGCGCCTAGATGGCGTAAAGATTCCTGAACAGGCAGCTTGGAGAAGAAAGATGATTCAGGGAATCGCTAGTGTGGCCCATAGATGCCTTCGGCAAGCTCGGGAGCACATAGCCAAGTTCTAGCTGATCCCTGAGTAGCTGGGAACCCAGTGGATAGGGATAGGTGTTTGTCGTGACTTTGTTGGAAAGGTTATCTCCAAGGAGCTTCCCCTGTGCAGACAGCTGTGTTCTCATTTTTTATCCAGGATCCAGGTCAAGGCTGGAGACTCATTAACAGCCTGAGGGATACCATGTGACCAGTTACCTGAGTGTAACTTCTTTTAGAACCCCAAGCCCAGCGTGGGAAGTGGTGGGAGGGAGCCTGGAGCGTGCACTCGGAGCTGCCGTGTTAGTGTCCGGGTCGCACAGGGCTCATATATGTGTGTAATTTATTCAGTGAGTTAGAAGTGACATTCACTCCCCAGCCATTCAGAGGGTTCTGAGCTAAGCCACTGAGACTGAGTCAGGGAATCCCAAGTACAAAGATCATCGTAAGGCAAATTCTTTGTTCTGTGTGCTGCTGTGACTTCAGAAATACAAATTATGAGCGCTCTTCCTGGAATCGAGAATTCTATTTAATGAAGAAGTGTATAATTCCATTATTTATTGTTTGAGATTTGATTTATCTGGAAGCTTAAAAGAATGTTCTTTGTTTATTAATTGAATCCCAGTCGTATACTGTATCTGATGGTGACTGAAAGGCTGTACAGTTGCTTATGTGGCTGTGATGACATGTAGGTCTGCACTTGAATTTGATTATCAGAGAAGCGTTCTGTGGCCATGAGGAGAGAAAAAGAAGCATTTTCAGAAACGCTGCCTATTGGCTATTCCAAAATCTTGACTCAAAATTTGCCACTGATTCTTTTGTATTTCTTTTGAAATGTATTATTTAAGCCTATTCCTAAAACTTTATAAAATGCATTTGGCAAATACACCAAAGAAACCAGCTCATAAAAGATTATGATCATTAATGAACTGCAAACCTCATCTTTTGCAAACAAGGGTGTTTCTTTGTAAATATTTGTGTTTATAAATGTACAGCAGAGTAAAAGTGGTTTTCTAGATTATTTAATTCCCATATTTCTAAACTATTTACTAAAGAATAACCCGGGCTCATTAGTTTGGATGACTGGGTGTTTTTTTTAATTCATTATCAGTCATGTTTGGAGCAACGTTTCGCTGGAGAAGTCAGCATTCTGGCAGTGGCAGGAGTCACTTTTGGAACATGAGAGAGTCTAGCATGACCTGTTAGACTCACACCCTCATAAGGCACAAGAGAGTGTAGCTTAATGAGCAGAGTGGACCATGAGCAGAGTGGACCATACGAAAGCGCTTCTAACTTCCCTACTGAATTACTCGCTAGCCCAGGATGGGGTGGGGACGAGGCCGTTTGCCCACAAATTTAGCTTTCATGTAACTCCCAGTGTGTTGTATCATAATATATTCTGTTCTTTCTTTGTAATGTAAGTTTTGCTTTGGGTCAATTTGAATTAAAAAAAAAAAAATCTTAAATCTGGTTTAAAAAAAACCATACTGGATTTGTGTTTTCTTTCTACTCTGCCTTAACTTGTTGACAACTCCAGGTGTTTGGTAAAATGAAATAAAGCTGTCTTCTTCTTCAGCACGTTAGGTCACCAGTGACTGGGTAAGAAAATAATTTCCAAAACAGCTCCACATTTCAATACTTTTTTTTTTTTTTCGAGACAGGATTTCCTTGTGTAGCTTTGCGCCTTTCCTGGAACTCACTCTGTAGACCAGGCTGGCCTCGAACTCACAGAGATCCACCTGCCTCTGCCTCCCAAGTGCTGGGATTAAAGGCGTGCGCCGCCGCCGCCACCACCACCCGGCTTCAATACATTTTTTATCCTCTTTTTTTATTTACTCTTTAGTGTTTTACATTTATTTATTTATTTATTACTTTGTGGAGGTCAGAGGGCAACCTGCAGGAGCTTGTTCTCTCCTACTATGTGGGTGGGGGGGTGGGGAGGTGGGGGGCCCTCAGGCTTGGCTGCAAAGCCCTTAATCTGCTGAGCTTCTCACTGCCCCTATCCCCTTTTAAAGCCCATTCTGTGACTACAAACTGGAAAACAACTTGGCCTTGAGGGTGTCCATCCAGCACGAAGGTTTCCTGAGTTAGATTCATTATCTGCCACATTTTGACTAGGAAACCAGGCTCATTAGCTACTTCTCTGTTACTGTGATGAAACACCCCAACCAAGGCAGCTTCAAGAAGGAGGGTTTATTTAGGCTGTAGTTCCAGAGGAATAGAAGTCCATCATGGAGGGCAATTATCAGGCGTGGTAGCTGGAGCTGCAAGCCGAGAGCTCACATCTTGACCCACAAGCAGGAAGCTGAGAGAGAGAACAGGATGTAGGTCAAGTCCCTGAAGCTCACAAAGCCCACCTCCAGTGACATGCTTCCCTCCAGCAAGGCCACGCCTCACTCCCAGGCTTCCCCAAACAGCACCACTACCTGGGGACTGAGTGTTGATAAACTAGAGGAAATCTTTTCATTCAAACCACGACAGTGGGTACAGGCCACTGCACACTAAGGAGAAAAGCAAATGCAGGCAGAGCAGAGCTGAGGTAGTTTGTTAGCCTGCAGGAGACAGCCTAGAGTTTGCACTTGCTCTATGTAGCATAAGCACAGCTTGATTTGGGAGAGACCTCTAGCTCCCAAGGATGGTGTGCTAGGGGAAAGGAAAGACAGACTGTTGAAGAACCTCATGGGGGACAGCGATATGCTGGGATTACAACTTTGTTGCATGCTTATCCGGGGTTTGGTGCAAATCACGGCCAAGAATGGCACATTTGAAATCATTTATAATGGCTAACAAGGGAGTTTGAATTTGAAAAATAGCTGCATTGCCTGGAAGTCTTGGAGTCATTCCTTTTCTGATATGATGTAAGGAGTGTGTTGTTTTCTCAGCTGAAAGATTACAAAAGTGGCTTACTAGCTGTTGATAGAGCATACCATCTGCTTGATAAAAGAAATATTTCCACACCCATGTAGTTGGATGTCCAAGATGAAAGAAAGGCTCTCTGTCACCTCCCTCTATTTCTGTAACTTCCTGCAGCCCTGTGTTCCCTAAGGAAAAGGAATGATACTTTATGCATTTTGATGCTTTTGAGACAGTGTCTTACTGTGTGGCCCAGGCTAGCCTCTAACTCATCCTCCTCCTGCCTTAGCCTCCTGAGTGCAGGATTAAAGAAACAAGCTTCCCAGCCTGACTTTAATGTTAGTATTGTCATTCAAAACTAGTTGAGACTTTATGAGCATCCTCTGCTAGATCCTGGGGTTATAGGACAGCTGCTGTAGACTCCTGCCATACATACCGCTGCTGCTTTATTCTTGACATTACTATGCTGTCACTACCTGCCTGGTAAGTGTTAAGTAATCAAAGGGTCAGCCAACATAGGGTGCCAACTGGATCAGATGATTTCCTGTGTATCTCTGGTTTCATGTTGCAGACTATTATGCATTCTATAGATGTTTCTATATTGGCTATGTTCCAGAAGAGTTCTCATTCTCTAGGGACAAGTTATCATCTTCACGGACCAGAGCACATTTGAAAAAACTGAGGTTTGGTCAAGAATGTTGTACAAGAGAATGTCAGTGCAGGGATAAACCCCTGAACCCCAATGCTGCGGCTGCCGTGTTCGGTCTCTTTCAGTCTAAGTGACTGAGGATCTTTCACTAAGTGCCTAGATGTCATTCATTCAAGTGTAGTGTGTGTGTGTGTGTGTGTGTGTGTGTGTGTGTGTGTGTGTGTGTGTGTTTGCTGTATGTATTGTCAAGCAGAGTGAGTTCTCAATCCTGAAGACATATCTATATATGAAACATTAGAAGTAGATGATCTGACATTTAGGAGCCTGAGAAGGGGCTCAGCAGCTGAGAGTCCTGCTTATTGCAGAGAACCCAGATTCATTTCCCAGCACCCACATGGTGGCTCACAGCCATCTATAATTCCAATTCCAAGGGGATGTGATGCCCTCTTCTGACATCCTCCGATACCAGACATTCATTTGTTACACATATATACATGCAGACAAGCACTCCTGAAATATTTTTTTAAATCCTTAAAGCTCTAAAAATTATTTTTCTGATGGAAATCATGAGCTTTCGAAAACTAGTAGGCATTTGTTTTTTTCCTTTTATTGAAAGTGGATTTTTTTTCCCCTCACATAATGTATCCTGATTACAGTTTCATGTCTCTCTGCTCCTCCCACTTCCTCCTCCCCTCCCATCTGGATCCACCCCCTTTCTGTCTCTAATTAGAAAACAGGCTTTTAAGGGATAATAATAAAACAAAATTTAGTAAGACATAAAACAAAAACTACTACATAAATTGAAAAAAAAAAGAAAACAGAAGAAGAGCCCAAGAGAAAGTATAAAAACCCGAGACCCTCTCATTCTCACACTTGGAAATCCCGTGAAAACACTAAATTGGAAGCCTAGTGAGACCCGTGTATGCCCTGTGCATGCTGTCTCAGGCTCTGAGTTTATATGAGCTTTGATTGTATTGATTCAGAGGGCCTTGTTTTCCTGGTGTCCTCCATCCCCTCTGGCTCTTACACTCTTTCTACAGGGTTCCCTGATCCCTGAGGAGAAGGATTTGATGGAGATATCTCATTTTGGGCTGAATGTTCCAAGGTCTCTCATTCTCTGCATAATGTCTGGCTATGGGTCTCTGTATTTTTCCCCCATCTGCTGCAGGAGGAAGCTTCTCTGATGATGGCTGGGCAAGGCACTGATCTATGAGTATAGCAGAATATCATTAGGAGTCATTTTATTGCTACAATTTTGCTTTTAGCCATCAGGGAAATGCAAATCGAAACTACTCTGAGATTTCATCCTGTACCCATCAAGATCATTCAAACAAAGATAGCTCATGTTAGTGAGGATGTGGAGTAAGGGAAACACTCATCCATTGCTGGTGGGGGTGTAAACTTGTATTGCCATTACAGAAATCAGTGTGGCGATTCCTTAGGAAGATGGCAATTGGATCTCCCTCAAGATCCAGTTATACCACACTTGAGCATATATCCAAATGAAGCTTCATCCTACCACAGAGACACTTGCTCAACCATGTTCATTGCTGCTCTATTCATAATAGTCAGAAATTGGAAACAACTTAGATGCCCCCAAAAGAAAAACAGATAAAGAAATGTGGTACATCTATACAATGAAGTATTACTCAGCCATTTTTTTTTTTTTTTTTTTTTTTTTTTTTTTTTTTTTTTTTTGGTTTTTCGAGACAGGGTTTCTCTGTGTAGCTTTGCGCCTTTCCTGGAACTCACTTGGTAGTCCAGGCTGGCCTCGAACTCACAGAGATCCGTCTGGCTCTGCCTCCCGAGTGCTGGGATTAAAGGCGTGCGCCACCACAAAAACAATGAAATCATTTAATTCACAGGTAAGTGGATGCAACTAGAAAAAAAAATCACCCTCAATGAGGTATCCCAGATCCAGAAAGAGAAATATGGTATGTATTTGCTTATATGTGGGTGTTAGCTGTTAAGTCAATGATAACCAAGCTATAATTTATAAGAAAGGGAGATAGAACAGATAGTTGTGAATGGATTGGTGAGGCAGTGGCATAGGAGGACCGAGTGGGGAGGGGAAGAGGAGGGGGGTGATGGAAGCAACACAGGGAGAGACAGGTGAAACTTCAGCACATTTGCAGGGTAGTGTGGAAACCTAATACAGTAGAAGCTTCCTAAAATTTAGACATATATGAAGGTGAGCTAACCGAAATTCCTAAGTAATTTGGAAGACAGCTCCAACTGGTCATCTCTTGTCACCAAATGACGCTTCCAATCCTTGGATTGGGTTACATCTAATTGAGTTGTTGGCCGAAGGGGTCCCACAGGAATCCCCAAACAACCCAGGCTGTGGCCAAGACTGTAGGTTGCTCTCTACAAACTGACAGCAAGGCCCCATTGCTGAAAACAGCACCCCCACATGCCACCGAATGTGATGAAGTTGAGCTGGTGCCGTCACCCCTATGTTCTGGTGTCTGTTACAGGTAGGTACTCTGCATGCTACCAAAAGGTTAACGTAAGCTCGAGCCAACCACAAACTCTTGGATCATCAGTGGTGTCCTGCCTCCAAGATATGCTAGGGCAGTGGTGGCACAAAGCTTGTGAGAGGAACCAATGAATATCAGAGTTGACTTAAGGCCCACTCCATGAAATGGAACCCATACCAGACACTGCCTGGGTGACCAAGAACCTGAGACTAGATAGCTCAGGGACTAAGGTGAAGCCAAATACTACTGTTCTATTTGGGGGAAAAAAAAAGTACAGTCATCTGTAGTTATCGTAAATTATATTAAATCTTGGCTTATTCTAGGATTCAAAAATCTCATTGGGAATGTGTGTGTTGTGCACAAGTGTGTCTGCAGATATGCTCATCCGTGCAGGTCAGAGATTGGCACTAGGATGTCCCCTATCACCAGCTACCTTATTGTTTTGAGACAGGGTCTCTCCTTAAACCTTGAGTTTGAAGTCTGGCTAGACTGGCTAGCCACAAG